TTCATCAAATCATTCAACTGTAATGACATTGTAGAATTTAGCATCAATCAAGTTGACTCGTTTTTTGCAATGAGTGAAACCTTGTTATGCATTAAAGGATCGCTCGCAATAAACGGCAATGGTGAAGTCAAACTAGCAAATAATGTGGGTGCTTTTCTTTTCGATTCGTGTACGTACAGCGAAAGCGCAAGGGAGATGGAAACAGTGCGGGATCCTGGTATCGTAAGCGCTGTACGTGCTATGACATGTTATACTCAAGAAGATTCCAGTCATATGGCAATGGCGGGGTGGAATTACCCTAAGGATCCAATTCTACATGCTGCCGATCATTCATTCAACATACAGATGCCTCTTAAGCATGTTTTCAACATTTTCAATGATTATCCTATGATTACGTGTGGTCGTCAAACAATAAGACTAGTTCGAGCTCGAAATGACAACGATTGCATAATTGTCAAAGAAAAAACTCCAGGTCATGTTACAACTGTTAAGATTAACATTACCAATATTGAGCTTAGAGTCAAGCACATATTTCCCAATGATGATATTAAATTGGAACTTATGAAATCCATTCAACAAGATCAACCTATAGTTATTCCTTTTAGAAAGTGGGAATTGCATGAATTACCAGCACTTACCAAAGGCGCTAGACGTGAAGTTTGGGCTGTAAAAACTAGCAATGCAGTGGAAAGACCTCGTTATGTCATTGTTTTCTTTCAAACCAATAAACGTGACAAAAGCGACGCCGATCCCACCTTATTTGACAATATCCACATACAAAGTATCAGATTATCTTTAAATGGAGAATATTGGCCGAACGAGAGAATGCAGTTGGATTTTAGCAAAACTGACTACAATGAGGCCTATTTCAATTATACCGAATTCTATCCTAGCTACATACATTCTCAACAAAAGCGACCTCTACTCGATTTCTCAGGTTTCGCACAACACACATTGTTCGTCATCGATTGTTCGAAGCAAGAAGAAAGCATGAAAGCATCCACTGTTGACGTAAAACTCGATATTGAAGCGAATACTGGTTTTCCCGAAAATACCAAGGCTTATTGCATTATAATTCACGACTGCGTAATGGAGTACTTCCCTCTCACTGAAATTGTAAAAAGTCTAAATTAGATGCATAAATTGCCAGTAGTACGCGAGCAGTCATCATGAGAGTAGCATTCGTAGACATTCAGGGATTCGATGTGGACGGATGGTTTGTTCCCAAAGAACTTACCATTGAAATAGGATTTAAACGAAGTCATTACATCTTCTTGCCTCAGAAACCTTTTAATGCGCTAAGTAATGGGGATAAGAAGACTGCATCATACGTGGAGAAAAAACTGCTTGGAATTCGATACTCTGATGGACACGTAGAATTGTCCAAAATCAATGAAATACTAGAATCCAAGTTGTTGTATGCAGCAGATTACATATACGTTCGAGGAGAACAAAAAGCAGAATATTTGGATAAGAAACGTCACGTTTTTGGAGTTTTTCCCATTATTATTGATGTTTGCAAGTTTGATGGTACACCTCATGCTACTGGAAACGTTGGCCCTACTGCAAACCCATGTCATGCCTCTGGATTATTTTCATGCACCGAAAGAAATGTGGATCGTCTACGTCACTGGTTTGCCAATAACATAATGCCATTGTAATTTTATGTATAAATAAATAAATATATTAGAAATTAAACGCTTTTTTATTTATCACATCTTTATTGATCGAGTCTTATATTACAAGAAGATTCAAATTTTCTCCTTACAATTTCGAAAATAATTTTTAAAATTAGGATAAATACAGATGCTAATATTACACAAGACATTGCAAAGACATTGTCTATTTCACTATTCATATGCTCGCTGGTGTTGTTGCTAACGCCCATGGTATTGGTTGAATACGTCTCAATGGATATGAAGCTGGTGGCAGTTTTCTGCAGGCGTAAATCCAGGTGTCTTGCTGTTGCTGCTGCTGTAGATTCAACTCTTTTGGATTCCACGTTTTTTCCTCAATATGCAGGCTATCTAATTGTCTTTTAATTTGTTTTATATTCTCATATGATTTAATGTCTCTATTTAACTGATCTAGTTTACGTTGAAATTCCATAACCCTATGTATGTACTCGATGGAATTCATAGTACTACTGAATATGTCCTATGTTGAATGTCACGTTTTATGTCAAGCGATGTCTTGACTGACACATAACTGTTACGTCAAAACGTCTCACGTCACGTAATTCCTACATTTCACGTTCTGCGACAAATGACACATATATGTCACGTCCTGCGTCGAATGTCACGTTATTCACGCAACATTTTCACGTTCTGCGTCAAATGTCACGTCATTTCACGTTCTGCGTCAAATGTCACATAAATGTCATGTCCTGCGTCGAATGTCACATAAATGTCACGTCCTGCGTCGAATGTCACGTCAATTCACGTGTCATTGTACGTTCTATGTCAAATGTCACATAAATGTCACGTCCTGCGTCAAATGTCACGTCCTACGTCGAATGTCACATCATTTCACGTGACATTTCACGTCCTGCGGCAAATGTCACATAAATGTCACGTCCTGCGTCGAATGTCACGTGACATCCAACGCTTTGACACCTCATACGTCAAAATCCGACCAATAGCAACGAAGATACGTTTTGACGCCCATTTGGCAACGCCGCCATCTTTGTTTTTTGTGTCAAAGTATTCCCCGTCTCATCCCCAGTTCCATCGAGCCCTCGTACGCCCCAATCAGACCAATAGAAACGAAGATACCCCATAATGACCTTTTGGCATGCTCCGATGCGCACGGCACATACTGCGTTCAACCCCATTTTTCATCCCCTTTCCAACGAGCCCTCGTACGTCATCCTACGTTAAGCCGTTTGGAACTTACGACCGGGGGTTGCGATTTTAGGGGTTGCAATTTAGGGGTTGGTCCAGGAAGTACATAGCCTATCTACTGATTACGAATAATAAAATTTATTTTTCATAAAGAACGCACTCACCAACTACAAAGAAACAATCAAAGCTTTTACAGTTATAAAATGATCTTAGTGCAGGAAGTGATCACTCTCTAGTTCGACCAAGAATAAGTTGACAAGAACCGGGAAAGAAAAAATATGTCCAAAGTAAAAAAATCCAGCAGATAGTTACAATAATAAAAACAAATAATAAAAAAAATATCAGAAGAATTGAAAGAAAAACTTAAGAGATCCTATAGAAAATAATCAAAACTTAAATCAACTTAACAACCAGCAGTGTTGGTAGAAACATTAAAGAAAATAGCACCGTCGATAAAATACAAAACCCAGTCGGAAATGATATAAACGATGGAAAAAAGAAGAGCAATGTTCAAATAAGGACAACACAAATCACAAGCATACAGAAATTCAAAGTCAACAGTAAAAACACTAAGAAAAACGGTAATGAGAACACTCCAAACTCACCATGAACATCTGGTATTAAGCTATACAAAAAAATCGAATTCATATAATGAGAAAATCAAACGAAAAACTTCAATTTTTTGCCACGAAAAATCGGAAAAGAGAAACAAGACAAGACAATATAAAAAAAATGAATTTTATAGAGAACATTATAGAGCAAATGTAGAGAAGCCAAATAGAGTTAAACACTAAAGAAAAACTTTCAGTTTAGGGTCAGAAGAGATCATAGAATTCTCTAAGCAGATGATCTTATCATTTATTGTTCTGGAAAATGACTGTCAATTACTTTTAAATTACTTTAAAATGCAATAAATACTTTATATATACGAGCCCCCTCCTATCTAATTGGCCTAAATATTAAAATCAGAATATAAAAAAAAACTGAGTAGAAGAAATATGATATTCCAAAAAAATCAATCAATCTCCATCATGACACTAGAGGTGGTCGATATCCAAAAATTGCTTGGCATAAACGCCATATAAAAGTGAAAATATACTAATAATAATAAAATCATTAACAGAAAATCAAACTACTACTGGAGTCATTCCGAAGAACCGAAAAGCTAGGTCTGAATGAACATCTCTACAAGACCATACAGCCATACAGAAAGCTGTACTGCTCTCAACGTCCATGTGTACGAAAATGTTTAGGAGATACTCCAGCATACCAAGTCACCTAGGGCTCGATAACACAGAAAGAGTCCCACCAGAGCTCAATCCTTTTGATACCGTAGGTCTGGTAAAATCTGGGAAAATCAAAATAGAATTACTAATGCATATTCAAATATGCATTAGTAATTATTAGAAGATCGAATATTAGAAGAAAAATATTCTCAAACGATTAAAATGTTCAAAAACGCGACACGATATAAAAAATAGTTTAACAACAAACAATTGCAAAACTTCCAGCGAATAATTGTATAATAATGTAACAATGTTATACAAGTAAATCTAATCGTGTATCAGCAACAATATAGTGTTGTATAACTTTGTACTTTACCACGTGGTGCGGCTTTTGACCGCAAGGAAGTACGGAACACCCTACTTGGGCGAGTTTCAGGAACAAAATAATGTCTATAACTGTGTATTTTATCACGTGGGATGATGACAAAATGCCTTCTTCTGTAGACAGAAACAGGATAATAATACATGGCGAGTAGTTTTCGGACGTAGCCTCATTCTGGACGTGAATGTGGTGGGTGCGCCTATCGCACCAATGTTGTTTAATTCTTGCAGTTGGTGTTTCCTTATCCTCTGATCCATACCTCCCTCATTTAGATAGGGTTGCCGATACGACGAAGAAATAATTCCCATTTAATATTTTATTTAATAGTTTATAAAAACTTGCGCTGTACAAACTATCTAACTTTGAGAAAATCAGTGCAATAAATAATTATATCAATGACTTTGATTGATCACCCTATAATGAAGGAAATACTTATTTGAAATATCTTTGTTAAGCTATTTAGGTATCCAACATGAAAATGAAAACCTAATAAAGAATAAATTGCCATTCGTACACACAATAAACCAAACTAAAACATTGTAAACTTACCTCTACGATAGTCTTCATGTGTTTTTTAATCAGTTCTTCTTCTACTACTTCAACAATTCGAGATTCTGTTGATTTATCTAAATAGTGTTTCGCACGATCAGATTCCTCATTGATTCGCGCTTCTACTTTGTTTATATACACTGACGCGCTATTTTCAGCCAAAAACCTTTGACTTTCCACCTAAAAGAAAACGTAAATTTAGTAAAACATCAATTAGAATCGTCGTCATGATGAAAACAAAAATAAAACAGTGAGTGTATGCTTTTACGTAACTACCCTAATAGGTATATACTACAAATCAAATTTTATACCTTATAAAATTCTGCAGACTGTTGCAAAAAAGGCCGTTCAAAGTCTTCTTCATAGACAACTCGGGAGTTGATTCCAAGTACCATTAACATTTGACACGCATTTTTAATTGAAATTCTATCGACTTTTTCTCCTCTACGTTCTCGCATTACCATATCTAATAAAGTCTCTCGAAGATGATCTCTTATACAGCCATAACGTACTACCTAAAATTATAAAAAATATATATACAGTTGAAGACAGCATATTGATTTATGTTAAAAAGACCACAAATAAACCGTAGAAGATTTTAAAATATTAAGGTTCAATGATATAGTGATTGGAATTTTCAATTAATTAGATTTATAGTTAATAAAAATGTATATTTTACCTGATCTCTAAAAATGATAAGTCCCAAATTATATACATTATCAACATCGTTTTGTTGGACATAGACCCTGTCCATATACATGAGTATATCTCTAATCATAACCATGGAGGTTTGATGATCATTCCAAGCTTGATTTAAAGTCATAAGGAAATTATTATGTAAAGATCGTAAAACATCTTCCCTAACCTAAAAATTGGAAAAAAAAATTGAACATATGTAAGAAACATAATTTTTGTCATTACATAATAATATTTATGTCTCATATAAGTATTTCATATAATCTCGTATTTTTAATCCCAAACTTCCTTTCTTCATACGTTATTCTTAGCTTTTCCACAAGCCCTAAAGGTATTATGATATCTTGTTAGCTTAGACCTGTTCCAGGGATAAAGAAAATATGGTTATTGGTTATTCACAACAGCGAATACCAAGAATAACTTATTAGAAAGTCAATGTAAAGTTCCATGTCAAAAAGTTGAACCAGAGTTGCGAAATAACATTTGAAAAAAAATGGCTTGTTTATCATGTGTCTGAGGGGAAAACCCCGATGTATCAGGCATCGTCTTCTTTTTGTGGTGCCTTCTTCTTTAAAGATGGTTGGCTACAATTTCGGCAAATTATTCCCGGTTTTGAACGATCCTTAAAAAACGGATTGTGAACTTAAACCTCTAAGTTTTCCTAAACTAACATGAACCAGGTCGAAATATCAAAAAGGAGTACACAAGAGGAGTCATAGAAAAAAAAAATAAGTAAGAAAGTCTTACCTTCACTTCTAAATGTTGGGTCACAACTTCCTTTAATCCTGTATATAGGCGTTCACCATGTTTGTGTAATACCATGGTGTATGCATTTCGATATAATTCTTCAAAACTTAAACCTGAGTTATTTTTCTTTTGAATTTCTTGTATAGCATTCTTTAATAAAGCCCATATACTTTCTACATACTTTTCATCCATAGTCATCTGAAAAGTAAAGATACCTTGATATATCATAATATAACATCACAATCGGGTGAAAGAAGTAATTTAAATAACTACAGACCAATTAGTATTATTTTGTGTATACTGTAAATTCTAGAGAGTATAATATTCAAGTCTATTAAACTACCTTTATGTAATGCTTATGAGTAAACACTTGTCCAAAGTTGTATCAGAACATCAAAGAGATTGGAACCAGCACATTCATTTATTCTTAATGGCATACCGCTCGGCCGTGAATGACACTACAGGCCAGACTCTAACCTGCCTGATGTTAGGTCGTGAAGTTCGTTTGCCCTGCGACCTAGAGTTTGGCTGCAGACCTTCCGAAGAACATGTTGTAAGCGAAGATTATGTCGACAGCCTAAAGTTAAGAATGAACAACATTCATGAACTTGCCCGACAACACATCCAGTTAGCCAGTGACAATGAAGGTTCAATATGATTCTCGATGCAAGAATGAAAGCTATGAAGTAGGTGATCTTGTTTGGCTTTATAATCCACAACGTCGTCGAGGCTTGTCTCCTAAATTGCAAAGACAATGGGAAGGTCTGTATTAAATTAAAAAGAGAATAAATGACGTAATATACTGAATTAAGAAGTTGCTGAAAGGTAAACCTAAAGTAGTTCACATAAATTGTGCACCATATGCTGGCTCAAATGGAACAGAAGAAGCACGAACCCTTCAACATGAGATCAAAGATGACCAGAGACCAAGCTTGAATGAATTTATGTCAAATTACGCAGAAAGAAAGAGTTCTAGATTTGGCGTGACCACAGAAGTTCAGCAGGATCTTTTTAGTGTTCTGCATAACATCTCTCTAGCCCACTGTGTTGCCCAAGATCTTGAGATGACTAAAGGAATCTCATCCATATTATATAAAAAATTCGGTCGTTTGGACGAGTTAAAAAACCAGCAGCTAAAAGTTGGAAGAGTACTGAGATTAGAAAAATTAGAAAATATATGGCATGCTCTAACTAATTTGAAGAAAATCGTCTGCAATTATGACATCAAGAATTTTACCTTACCCAAGATAGGCCATGCACTAGATAATCTGGATTGGAAGATTTTCAGAAGCATGCTTGAAGTGATCTTCCGAGAAACCGGCGTAAGAATTACTGTGTGTTGCATTACCGAAGAGATTGTGTCCTTCAAAGTCAGTAGACTGTTATTTCTTCTTGAGGGGGTCATGCAGAGCTGGAGAGGCCTGTAGATTCCGCCATCTTGAGCCTACATATAGAGTTGCTGATCGGGACGCTCAGATCTAAGAGGGGAGCAGTGATACGAACATGCTCTCGGCATGGCCCATGTAACGGTTGCATCTCGAGAGGGCATCGAAAACCTTCCACGGATGTATCGAGCGCAGGAGAAACCGACCCGTCAAACAACAAATTAGAGGTAGGACTACTCAAGATGATTCTAGAATAATACTTTTGGTATATGTATGTAAAGATATTATGAGTAGAGTTGCAGTTGATAAGATACTACCGAACTGTAAACTTATAAATAAATATATTTATATACATTCGTTTTATATAAAAACGGTACAGTAGTTCTAGAGAGTATAATATGGAAGTCTATTAAACTACCTTTATGTAATACTTTAATTCAAGGACAATATGGTTTCCTTTCTGGTGGATCTAATTCAACAAATCTACTATTTACACAATACATGTTAAGGCTTTGGAGAGGAAACTTCAACTAGATGCCGTTTAACATAGATTTTTCCAAAATGTTTGACACTGAATCATAAGTTGTTGTGGATCAAGCTAAAAGCTATCGGGTTTACAGGCAATCTTCTCGGTTGATTGAGCAGCTATTTTATAAACAGGATATATACAATTTGTCATATGTCGAGCAATATTACCGGAATTATAGAGATTTGAATACCGCGCGATCGGTATGTGCGCTCTTTTCTTAACTTTGTTATTCCGTGCGTCAGGCACGATTTCTCGAAAACGAATTGACAAATTTTGCTGAAACTTTCCACATTCTATCTTTGGAATATTGTTTCATGATAGAATAGGGAAGGGATTTTCAATCAGTTGACTCGTTCTTGTATTTTCTTGACTTTTATTTATATGAAAAAAATGTTTTAAAAATAATGAGAATGAAAAAAATGCTAAATGATCGGATACCTACAAATATAATAAAACTGTGTGCATATGAGCTAGCTATACTGTAGCTTATGTCATTATAATAACCAATACCTTCATAAATGGGATATTTCCAGACAACTTAAAAATAGCTGTAGTAAAACCAGTGTATAAAAAAGGTGATGCCACTTTACTACATAATTATCGTACAATAAGCCTCTTACCATCATTCTCCAAGGTTTTTGAAACAGTCATGTGTGCCAGGCTTCTCAGTTTTTTTCTATAGTGAGTGACTGTTATGCCATGCACAACATGGGTACCTTAAGTAAAAATCTATAGAGACCGTCATTTATGATTTTATAACAAAGATAAATGAGCTTTATGAAAACAAAGATATATCCATTGGCGTATTTTTAGATTTATCAACAGCATTTGATACTTTAAATCACAAAATACTAATGGAAAAGCTTTAGAGATATGGCATTAGAGGGCCATTTGAGTATGCGGGAAGAAATTGCTTGTGTGATGAAGGTCTCATTTCAGTGGGAATTCCTCAGGGAAGTATTCTGGGTCCTCTTCTCTTTATTTTTTATGTAAATGATTTAGCTTTAGACATTACAGATAACAATCAGAATACTCTTATTGTGAAATTTGCAGGTGATACTAACATTTTAACTATAGGGTCATCCTTGAATAATTTATTGAATATCGCTAATAATAGATTAGATAAAGCACAGAGATGGCTCAATATGAATTAACTCATACTGAACAGAGAAAAAAAAAACAAATTATATCCGTTTCGATACTAAAACAAATAATAGTACCTTACCAGAAACTATCTCAATTCAATCGCAAATGGTTACTCTAAACCAAAGCACAAAATTTCTGGGGGTACATATTAACTAAAATTTAGATTTTGGAGTGCATATAAATGAGATCTGTAACAGGTTAGCATCTATCTGCTACTCATTCAGAATAACAGCAAATTATTTGGACGAAAATTGTAAACAAGTTGTATATTTTTCAAATTTTTATTCTGTAATGGGATTTGGAATAGTTTTTTGGGAGGGAGAGGGGGGAAGTGGTAACGCTGAACCGGTTTTTATATTACAAAAAGAGGAAACACAACTCTACTTAACTTGAAATACAGGGATACATATATGAATGCTTACTTTTCATTTTTAAAAAGACATAAATTGTTGAAACACATAACAAACCATAACACTAATACACGAAACAATCTCATAAACTATAATATACCATTACATAGACTAACAGCATCTGAGAAAACCACAGAATATGCATGTATTAAATTCTTTAATAAATTGCCTTACAGCATCAAAATAGAAACTGCCATAAATATAGAAAGTCTGTTCAACAGCTGCTCATACACTTTGAATCATACAAAGTAGAAGAATACCTTCAAGCTGACCTGCGGGAAGACTGAGGGCTCTTAGCTAAATCTAATTGTCACTGTTATTATTATTATATTTTAATTTACTTATATTTAGAGTAAATACAACTGTCAACCAATTTGGACTGAAGATCAATAGGAAAAAAACTAAATTTATGGTGATCAGTAAAAAGAACATTCAACATATTGACCTGAATATTGAAGCCAAACGTATTGAAAGAGTACACCAATTTAAATATCTGGGATATACACTAACTGATAAGTGGGACCCAGACGTAGAGATTAAAATCCAAATTGAAATAGTAAGATCCAAATTCATCAAAATGTGAAAGCTCTTAAGCAACCACAACCTAAGCGTTAACCTCTGATGCTGCGCCACGAAATGCTACATACTCTCTACGCTACTCTACGGAGTAGAAGGGTGGACTTTAACAGCAGCAACTATACTATATAAGAATACCCCTTGGACAGACAGAGTGACAATGTGCAGAGGTACAAATAGAGGTATTAGTATGAATGGGTAAAGAAGTCTAATTGTTAACAACTGTTAAAGGAGGAAAGTGTCTTCTCGCTCAGCCATGTTTTCCATAATGATAAGTACAGTCTACTACAGCTTATCATAGAAGGCAAGATTGAAGGTAGAAGAGGTTTGGACAGAAGGAAGAAATCCTGGCTGAGAAACTGGAGAGAATGGTTTCAAATACTAGAAGCTGTGAACATAATACATGTGGCATAAAACAGAGAAACCTATTGTTTGGTGGTCGCCAACTTTCTGTAGAAGACAGCACATAAAGATTACTTCTATATTAAGTGTAGGTTGTTACAGTAACCATTATAAATTGTAATTGATACCATTCTCTCTATTGACAATTTATATGTATGTGTAACTTGTGAATACTGAGAATAAAGCTTTTTTTCTATTCTATTCTATTTATATATGTTTTTCGTATATAAAGTGATAAACGATTTGGGCTCCACATTAAAGAAAAACAGTTTATTTCCACATTTACAGAATTTATTTTTAATTTTGTTTTTTTTATTTTTAAGTGAGTGGTAACAACTAAAAACTACAGAACAACTACAACTACAACAGCTACAAATGAATGAAGCACAACTTTTAATTTTTTTAATTATAGTGGAGTCTAATATCAGATATAATTCAAACATGAAACATAAAAAAGATTTTAAACTAAGTCAATGGAACTAAAACAAAAAGAGTATAAATAAACAAAATACATATAAAGTGAAATAATATGAGACAATAAAAATTGGAGAAGTCAAATACAGACAAAACAAATAGAAAAATATAGTTAATTGGACAAAAACACATCTATCTTTATGAAATCTATAACACAATAAGCTCTAGACATCTTGCCAAATTGGATAATTTGAATTTAATCAGATTTTAACATCTAAATTAATGGAACAGTTACCTTCCTCTATTTATAAAATTATTTGTTTAAACTATAAAGTAAAATTAACCTTTTGTAAATAACTGAATATGGATATTTACATTATCTCCTGAAGAATCAAAATTATACCAATATTTGGTAGGGCCAATTTTCATTACTAAACTAGGTAACTTTGTATCATAACTCCAATGCAGATAATCATAAATAAAATGGAGAACTACTTCATCAGTTTCGCAAAACAAAGTAGAAAATATTTAAACTTGATGTGTTATGAGTAGTTATAAAATGACAATGAATTTTGCAATTATTGAAAATGACAGGAGTGTTGGAAATGACAGATAATGGGTGATTTGAAAGAATAATTTTTGATTATTAAGAACTGAGAAATAAACTAATTATGTGTGTGTAACACAATTTTGAAGCACTGTCTATAGGCACTGGGGACATGCCCACTAATGCCCAAAAGATTTGCTATCATTATTACCAAATTACTGTTATATGTTTGTTTGTATGTCAATTACTTCTAGTTTCTTAAAGGAGCATACTTATATCATGATTTGAAAATAAAGAAACTTACGCCTCAAATGATTATTTAGATATTTAAGAATTATGTTACATGTAAGAACTGTAGCTGCCCTAGTTTAAAATTCCATTTTTTTTCTCCACTTTTCTATCTTTCTAAATCACAAGATTCCTTAAAATGTTTTGCAATCTTTATTTTGCTGTCCTATATCTATTTTTTTGTATATTTGGTTTGTTTCTTGATCTTATACTTTATCTGATGGTATATAGTTGGTTATAATTCTTAACACATTAAGGAAAGCAGTATATACATAAAGATCCAATCGATGGAAAGGGAAACACAAATTTGTAAAACGATAGGTAAACTTCCTGACTACAGCTTATAACAGACTGCCAATCCTTTTGTGAGGAATACTGCATCAATTTCTAAATCCTAAGCTGAGTCGAATCTCAATAAGCATATATCATCTGTTTTGTTCCTGTTTATGGGACATGTGGAAATGGTCTGCACAATATAAAAATCTGAAGTCTGAATCTATATGTAGCCATTCAAGAAAGCTATTTTATTTATTTTATTATTATATGATCATGAAAATCACTTAGATTAAAGTAAAAATTAAGAGCATTTTAATAGATACACATTGGTAGATTTAATACAAATCTTGAAAAAACCATCTGAAATATTATGACAATGGATTAAAAATTAGTAATTGGCATAATGATTTCATATCTATTTGAGAAGTTTTGAATTCACATACTTTTATTTCAATTGAATATTAATAATTTGGGTAAAAACTTAGTAATGTTAAAAAATTATAAATATTTTGACAAGAATTCTATTCAGAAATTACTCCTCCAAACTAAATAAATATGATAGATTTTCTTCTTTGTATATTTATAATAACTTTAGTATTTTGATATTAAAAAATCCACACTACCGGCGCTAGGAAGGTAAAGGTACTTGAGATCTACTGTTATACCTATAGGTCATACATTTGCTATGTTTTCATTTTTCCTAATATTTATAACCTTATTTCTCTTACTGTCAATTACCTTGAAATTGGCAATATGGATGCAAGTAATTGAAAAAATTAAGAAAAAAATAAAGCAAAAACATAGAACTTACTGGGAAGGCTCTAATCCTCATTTTGCCTTCCTTTTTGGTTAGACCTCCACTTTTTATCGATGACATTTTCTTTCTCTTTTCTCGCTCCAAATTCGGTAATTACTAGCAGGTATTCATTACACACAATTAATTTTAGGGTACATTACTAAATTATCAACACTTTAAACAATCCTTCATAGTTACAAGATGAAAATCGGACCTTAGGCACTTTTACCAATTAACGAATGACTTGTTTTTGTGTTTGTACTACATGGGTCATTTTCAGTTATACTAATTCGATATCACGGCCACTTTCACTTCCCAATAGGTAAAAGGTACTCGTAAATGCCTTAAATCAGTTGAATTTAGATGCAGTTGACTACTTCTGTTATCTAATTTCTAAGTTTTATACTTCATCAATTTACTTTCATCATTCGTAGACAGTTAATTCTTATTCAGCTGTTTCTTTTTCAATCCGTCATTCTTCTTGTTTCTCATTCCACGACAGCACTAGAATTGTTCCTTTCAAATTTTAAATTATTTTCACCCTTTTATGTCTCTCTTTAGTACGTGCATAATATTAGTTGTCTCATTTTTCAGCCTAAGCTAACTTCAACGAACAACACTAAATACGGGGACCAATTACACCACAGAAAATATTTTTAAATACTCTTCATGAATTTTATAAGTATTCCGCGGATGAGGTTTAGCGAAGTTTGTGTGATTTAATACGAGTATCAGACTACAGGATAACATAAAAGAAAATTAGCCATAATTAAAATTCCGAATCCAAATTTGAATGTGAACAAAGCACCATCATTGTTATTTACTGTCAAAGCATTGTCAAGGTTGTCAACCCTGAATTAGAGAAAGTCTGTATAGTCCATAACATTCGATGAGTCTCTGTCTTCGTTTCGTCTTTGCAATTAAAGAAGATAGAAATATATATTCTTCGAATGACGTATGTCGCAGTAAATTATTTTTACGATGACTGTAAAATGGTGGTCATCGTAAAGGATATTTCTATATAGAAATGGATTTTTATGTCTTAAATTAACTATTTTTTATTTCATAACATTTTAATTTTCTTTGCAACTTTTCTGTGTGTGCAGTGTGTTTTATTCAAATAGTGCCTGTCATATTAATTAAGTAAGTAAAGTCGCAGCCTTTTATTGCTTTTATGATAAAATTGCTTGACGCATACAACCGGCGCGCCCATGAAAAATATTTGGTTTTTTGAATTTAAAAAATAATTGTCTTCGATATGAATGCCTGTATGTAAACGATAATAATTTAATTTACAGTAAAAATGTCGTCTGATGATGAAAAACCTCCTGCACCTCCAGTTCGTTTGACATCCAACAGGAGCACTGATCTTGTCAACAGCTCCATTGCCGTGGATAGGCCCCTTCCAAAGGAACCTGAGGATTTGGACAAGAAAAAGAAAAACATTAAATCCAAAAAGACCCACAAGTTATCTACTTATGCCTCGGACAAACCTAACATTTCTTATCCCACCAATTTTGAACATACTGTACATGTTGGATTTGACCCTGTATCTGGAGAGTTTACGGTAAGTTTGAGCATAAAATTATTTAAAGTAATATTCGTACTAAAAATAATAAAACATCTATGACTTTTACATGTACATATCTTTATCATACTTCATTATTTATAAAGAGTGCTGCAGGTCACAAACCCATGTGTCAATGATCTCAAGATATCTTAAAAATAAGAGGAAACAAATAGTTTTTAATAGACTGTTTACCTAATTAGTGTACATTTGGTTGTCTATTTTTGACAAGATTCATATTTGTAAATAATTTTAAAACACCAGTTGATATCTCAAATTAATATAAAGCATGTTTACTATGAAACCAGAAAAAATAAACAGCTACAATGTTTATATATAGATAATGTAAAATATTTATAAACATTACATATTTTAAACAACTTTATAGTTTAAATTCATGAATGTAAATTGCTAAAAAGAATGAATAAAAGGTACCAAAGAAAATTTGAGCACCATGTACATAAGGTGGTGAAAACTATGCACGAAATATCATTTTGAAACAAAAAAATCTCAAATAGAATATCATTCATAACAATAAAACCATTGTTTTATAGAACCGGGATGCTCCAAACAATTTTCAAAAAATCAATAATTTTTTTTTTAAAAATTACTAGAAAATTCTCTAAGGTCCAGCGTCCATGATACAACTTTTTTAAAACAATGGTTGAAAACTAGTTTCATCTGCAAGGGGTTTACAACCAATTTACAATCTAAATAAAACCTGTATCCACCCACCAAACAACTTGTTTTGGATCAGTTCAATTATAATACAAAGTTATCAGCTTATAATACAATGTTAAATGTGGTAAATTGGTGGGTATAAGAAAGGCCAATTTAAAAAATTAGCTTTTAAAATAGTTATTTAATTTTTCTGAACCAAATGCTCTTGTTCACTACAAATATATTTCTCAGCTACCATAGGCATTTGAACAATTGACATGTTAAGATTTTTCATTAAATTTCCAATGTGAAATAGTTATTTAACCAACAAGTGTATTAATAAGGGCAATTAACAATTGAGATATTTTAACTTTTATTGTTTAAGATTGTTAATCACCAGTTACAAGTTTGTTACAAAACTTTTCCATTGACTATACTTAAATTAAAGATATCTTAGTTTAAATTTTTATTTACTTAACGATGAACAATAATTTTTTTCAGCTTTCATTAACTTTATTCAAAATTTAATTTTCCTTAGTGGGAGTTTTATTATTGTAAACATTAATATTCGAAATAGTACAATTACTGAAATTAAAAGAAGGTATTGATAATCAAATTTGTATTTAAATCTTCTTGGACCTCTGTAAATTCTGTGATAGAAGAAGAAGCAGTGGTGCTGAAGGAAGTACATTGACAAGGTTTAGTGGTATTTTGTCCTAACAGTTTTTCAGCCCTCTCAAGTTTATTCTGCATAGAATTATCTATATAACCTTCTGCTACAGCAGTCGATTTCCAGCCACCTAGTCTTTTAATAGCTGAAAAGTCTGCACCACTGTCACACAGTATGAAGGCAGAGGAATGTCTAAAACAATGCCCAGTGTAGAGATGCGTGTGCCCTAATTTTAAGAATTTAGCAGTAACTGAAGGAATTTTGGAAAACATATTTATGCCAACTCGTTTATGTGGTGTGTGTGCCGGTCTTAAAGAAATATAGTTTTTGATCGCATTGAAAATGGTATTTGCTTCGTTATCTACTATGGTAAATATTCTAATTGTGTGTGTTTTTGATACTTTTATTGTGACAAGAAACTTTGACTCCAAGTATTGAACATTATTTGTGTCTAATTTCAATAGTTTGTCCTTTCTCAACACACCAGTCACTCCGAAAATCAATGCAACCTATAAAAGGAAATGTTATGAAATACAAGTATTAAATATATAAATTTAATTTACTGGTTTAGTTTGATTCATAATCTGTTCTTTTTTTCTTGATAAACATAATTAACTTATATTTAACTTATATTAACTTTATATTTAGATATAGTAATGTTTGATTTTAAACTTAAGGTTGATTTTAGCATAGAATATTTGGGCCACAAACTTGCTATTAGTCCTTTTTCAGCAATATTTGAAAAATATGTCAACGATACAGATTCTGAATATCATATTATTTTTCTCTCATCATACCATGCAATAAATTCAGCGTATGTTTTTTCATACAACACTCTGCTTTTTTCAGGCAGTAAACTTAAAGATATTTCATTTGCAGTTTCTGCCACTTCGGGTGGAGTTAAATTAAACTCTTCATCAATAACCATTTTTGGACTTTTCAAATACACAGAATTTTAAACAATAAATTAAATAATGACATACAATGACATATACTACTAACAGTGGTTACTTTATTTTAAATTTTTTAGTGGGAATATAAATAGGTATATGTTTGGTTGCCTACACCACAGGTCACTGCCAATCACAGAGCATTTAATTAATTTATGCAAGCAATGTATGTTGTGTTTGTTGTGTTGCCTATAATGAAATCATTCATTAATAGAAAATCATTCATTAATAGGGGCCATTAATAAATGATTTTGAGGGTGTTAAAATTGATCATTAATGGACAGTTGATGGAAAAAGTTATTTGTTATTCTGAACTATCAATAGATTTATATTTTTTGTAATAGCTTCTTAGTCTTTAAAATTCCACAATGGAAAATAAAATTCATGTAGTTGGCTGTATACCATAAATCAAAAAAGTTTCATTTAAAAATCCTTCGTAAAAGGTATACCAGGTGGTAAATCGTTAAACGAGCCATATGAAATTCAAAGGGAAATTCTAAATTGTTGAATTCCTGCTTCCCTAATTATTTACATTAAAAGTCATAAGAAACTATTTGTAGATAACTGAAATATGTATTAAAAACAAATTATTCACAAAATAAAAATATTGACAATTAAAATATTGTCAAATATCAGAAACATAAATATGACCAAACGCATCATGTCATACACCTTCTTGTACCTCGTGTGGCCTGACTTTAAGGGGTGGCCTGAAAAATGTATTATATTTTTACAAAATTTTGGAATACATTTAATTCGTAGAACAATTTTAACATTTGATTTTAATACATATTTCCATCCTCTATAAATAGTTTTTTATGACTTTTGATGTAAAATAATTAGGAAAGTAGGAATTCAACAATTTAGAATTTCCCATTGATTTTCCTATGGCTCGTTTGACAATTCACCACCCTGTATAATTAAAAAGACTCTTTAGAGCTACCTCACAACAGAATGTTTCCATACTAAAAATGCAATCATTAGTGCATATACTATAAATAAAATTTATTTTTTGGATTAACCTCATTTTAATTAAAGTCAACTGAAATGTGGAAAATTTATGACTAGCAATTATGCAATAATTTTTATGCAGACAATGAGAAATTCTAACAATCTTGGATGCTCAATTAGGTTATGTGTGTGTATTTATTGATTGTACATTTCCATTCAACAGTGAGAATTAAACCATTTTACAACGAACTATGTATTCTCATTTTTTATGTGGAAGTAAATGCTAAAATGCTTTTTTAATTGAACTAATATATGTTTTGGAGCAATGCATTTAAATGTCAAATATATTTATAGATCTGTTACTGTTAGATGTACTGTATAGATGTCCATTTTTTTTTTTTGGTTAAAACAAACTAATCAAATCTAGAGGCCAAAATTGCATAAAGAGTTCCCCATTTTGCAATAATGGTTGATTACCTTAAGACAGTTTTGGATGTAGGGTGTCCTGTGATGGGGCATCTGTGGTAGTAGCCTGTGATTTGTTAAGGCATGGAAGGTTGAGATTAGATGTAAAAAAAATGTTCTGGTCCTTAAAAGTCTGCATGCTTCTGCATTCACTAGATTTAGAATGTTCAATATAGTGGACAGTCTGAATTGAAATTAAGAATTCAACTAAGAAGAGTATTTGTAATTTTGTTATGGTAATGTGAATGATTGAGAAACAAAGGTTTAATAAAATTGTTATAGCCTAGAAAGAGATCTGTTTAAGAGTTTGTTGTAGCAAGCCTAAACAGATTTTTGTAAAAATATCTCACTGAAGTTGTTTATTGCTATAATTGTCATGCTATAAAAACATATTCCATCTGAAAAATTTTGGAATGAAAAATAGATACAGTTTTTAACCTTTAATTTGTATTTCTCGAAAAGTATGATATCTATGACAAAACTGGATAGAAGTAAAATTACTTGCAATTAAATTTTTTATCAAAATATGCTTGTGAAATTAGGAAAATGTAATTAAACTGCATACAAATTTACCTTTATTAATGGTTGTTATAGGTATGATACTTTTCAAAATATTAAGGAGTAAATATTCAAAAATAGGGTTCTAAAAGGCTAATTTTTTGTTTTACAATTTTTCAGCTAGATTATTTCAAAATTTTAGTACAACTTTTGGGAGATATTTATCCAAATAATTAAAATTCCAGATTGCACTATACAAATGACTGAAGCTATTTTTGTACAGATCTTGACTGAACTATTAATAGTATGATTAATATGTTTTTAATTAGATACTTTTCAGAAAGTAAAAAATCAATAGAGAACACTATAAGTCATTAACAAAATACTATATATACAGATAATAATTTTTGATAGTTTATTACTAGAAAACGAATAGTGCTAAGTTGAGTTAGGGCTATTTTCTACTTATGATCAACAATTTCAAATATCTACTTGCAGTGTTTCTGTTAATATTTGATAACTAATTTGTTTGTTCATAATAATTTTTTGTGACTCACATATTATGTTACTGATATAATTTATCTATGTTATCTCTATGAATTAGATTAGATAAATAGTAATTCATGTTGCTTAGAAATTATATTTCTGACATGTAAAGGTGGATTGGCAATCCTATCTAGAAAATTAGTAGCCAAGAGAATTCTACATAAAACCAAAAAATGAATACCTCATCTACACTCTTGTTTTTCCTTTTTTCTTTCTGTAATTACAACTCAAGAGTAGTTATAATTTAAGTTATAAGTTAT